CTGGTATTGGACCATGAAGAGCATGGTCCTTTAAGAGGCCAAAACTCAGGCCTGACTGCAAATGGCCCAACTCATTTATGGGCCGTTAACAGGGTAAAATACACATGGGCTGGAAATTGGCCCAACAGTTGAATGGGTCGCTAAAAGGCCGAAAGACGTATATTCTGAAAATTGGCCCATCCCTTGAATGGGTCGTTAATAGGCCGAAACCACATCGGGCCGATATTGAGCCCAAATATATAGCGGGCTGTTAGCGGGCTCGAACTGACGATGGGATGCAATGGTGTCAAATAGTTAAAGGGTTGTTGACGGGACGAATTGGCACATCTCGTATGGGCCGTGGGCTTAAATGGACCAGGCACAAGTAGGCCCTATATGGGCTGGCCTGCTAATTTTGATTGGGCCGGCCTCTTTCACCTAAATGGGCCACTATTGGGCCTTGCCATGTGCCAACGTATCATAGGCGCCTCCTGTACAATGAGTGGATGCCATCTGTCCCAACACTGAGCCGACACGTGGATCCTCCGGCGAATGAGAATTTTACACGTGGAAAATCCCCATTGGTCGGGGCTGTTAACGGGTTATCGGATCCAAACCAGAACCCGATAGCTTAACGGCGGCCCATTACAGTGGATGCCACGTGTCAGTTACCCTTGAGGAAAACACTTCCATGACGCGCCATTTATCGTCATGGAAGTGGACACTTCCGTGATGATAATTTTGGTATTGTCATGGAATACTTCTACGACAACACATGTATGACTATCTTGATTCTGCCATAAAATCATCATGGATGTACATGCATGAAAGAAAACGTGACCTACTGTGACAAACACATATCATCACGGAAGTGTATTTTTTGTAGTGTTGGGAACCCACTTGACCATGGCCTTAGGAGCTTATTCAAATGAATCAATCTCTTCTTGAAGCTTGTCCATGCCTTTTAGCTTGTGGTCTTGTGGTGGAAGATCATCTTGAGCTTGTGTTTCCTTGAAAGAAGTGGGGTCATACTTCTCTTGTTGAGGAACAAACTTCGTCTTGGGGTATTGATCTTCTTCCCACTCAACTCCATTGGCATTGAACTTTCGTTCAAAACCAACACCTTGACTCTTCTGATGCCTTCCTTGCTTGCGCACAATTTCCTCAAATTGCTTACTTCCGGTAAGGCTCTTGTAAACACATTTCTCTATAATTCCCTTCAATAAGCTATTTTCTGGCTCAAGTGTAACTTGGCTAAGAGAGTCATTAGTGGGATCAAGAGAACTACTAGAAGCAACAACATTGGATTTAACAGTGTTATTGTTACTACTAGAGGAAGAATATTTCTTGTTCTTGTTGCTAGATTTTACTTGTGACATATAAGTAGACAAGAGGAGACATTTGGCAAGATAAGAAGAACTCTTCTTTCAGAGATCATCATTGATAGCTTTTAGAAACTCTTGCCCTTGCTCTAAATTTAGATTCTCGAAGCGTAGCTCCTGATGAGTCCTTAGGAGCTCTCTATGATCCTCTAGAGTTGTCTCATGAGCTAACTTAAGAGTGTTTAGTTCTTTAGTTAGACGCTCAATCTCCTTATCATTGTCATTCGTTTCATCTTGATTAGCATGATTATTAGCAAGTTCATCATAGTTTCCATCACTAGTGTTGTCAACAAGTAAATCATCATCACCTAGCAAATCATCTTCATCACTATTAAAATCAACATACTCGGGGTGTGATACATTTTCATCTTATGCTCCCAACTAGCAAAATTAGTACCATCAAAATAAGGACCTCTACGGTGGTAATTTCCCTTGCTAGATGCCATACTCTCCTAGGTTGTGAAACCAAGGTTATGATCACCAAAGCTATGGAAATTAAGGCAAATGGAGACTAAAGCTCTGATACCACTTGTAGGATCAAAAGTATGTCTAGAGGGGGGTGATTAGACTACTTGACCAAATAAAAATCTAACATTTTCCCAATTTTAGTTGTGGGCAGATTTTAGCAATTAGCACAATTTAAGAAACCAACCTACACATGCAATTCTAAAAGTGTAGCAGCAGAAAGTAAAACATTGCATATGAAGGTAAAGGGAAGGGTTTGGAGAGTGCAAACGCAATGAAGACAAGGAGATTTTTGGCGTGGTTCCGATAGGTGATGCTATCGTACATCCACGTTGATGGACACTTCAACCCACGAAGGGTAACGGTTGCGCGAGTCCATGATGGGCTCCACCCACGAATGGTCCATGAAGAAGCAACCTTGTCTATCCCACCACGGCCATCACCCATGAAGGACTTGCCTCACTCGGGTACATCTTCATGAAGTAGGCGATCTCCTTGCCCTTACAAACTTCTTGGTTCAACTCCACAACTAGACGGAGGCTCCCAAGCGACACCTAACCAATCTAGGAGACACCACTCTCCAAAAGGTAATAGACGTTGTGTTGATGATGAACTCCTTGCTCTTGTGCTTCAAATGATAGTCTCCCCAACACTCAACTCTCTCTCACAGACAGATTTGGATATGGTGGAAAGATGATTTGACTGGAAAGCAACTTGGAGAAGGCTAGAAATCAAGATTCTTGCGGTAGGATTGGAATATCTTGACCTCAACACAAGAGTAGGTGGTTCTCTCTCAGAAAATGTATGTTGGGAGTGTAGGCACGTTCTGATGGCTCTCTAACAAATGGAGAAGGAGGTGGAGGGGTATATATAGCCTCCACACAAAATCCAACCGTTACACACATTTGACCCAACTCGGTCAGACCGAATAGATGAACTCGGTGAGACCGATTAGTTCAAAATGTGAATGTTAGGAATCTCAGTGGGACCGACTGGAACAACTTGGTGGGGCCGGTGTGCTAGGGCTTAGGGCAAACCTCATCTCGGTGGCGCCGATTGCATCAACTCGATGAGACCGAAGTGAAGCAATAGGGCAACAGAGAATTGGCCAAGCCATCTCGGTGAGACCGAAATAATTACAACTGATAACAATGAGTTAACAAGGCCATCTCGGTGAGACCGAACTGTTAGGGTTTCTGGCTGTGGCTATGTCATATGAACTCGGTGGCGCCAGGTAGAAAGAATCGATGGAGCCGAGTTGGAGTTTGGGATTTTGACATATTTGGATGGAAAAGGTGGTTGAGGGTATTTGGAGCAATACCACTAAGCATTTGAGTAAGCAAGCCATTAAGAAACACCTCATCCCTTTTTAATAGTATTGGCTTTCATATGGACTCAATGTGATCTTGGATCACTAAAATAGAAATGAAGAGTCTTGAGCTTTTGCCAATATGTGTCCTTAGCATTTGGAGGGGTCCACATTTCTAGTCCATGCCATGCCATTCATTGAACTTCCCGAAATATTTATCACAAATGGATATTAGTTCAATGAGCTATATGTTGTTATGAATTACCAAAACCACCCAGGGATTAGTTGCACTTTCAAGGATCTTATGAAGAAACAAGCTAATAAACACCGCAGGGATCGTGAATTTGCTGTTGGTGACTCGGTGTTCCTCGAGCTGCAGTCGTTTGTGCAGACATCCATGGCTCAACGACCTCATTAGAAGTTGGCCTTCTGGTACTACGGACCATACCCAATCATCGCTCGTGTTGGCGCAGTGGCTTACAAAATGGCACTCCCAGAAGTCAGCAAAATCCAACCCATGGTGCACGTGTCTCAGCTAAAGAAGATGGTGACCTCGGACATCCCAGTGAGTGCCGCTTTGCCCCCAACTAACACTATCTTGCAGGCGGAACACCAGCCAGCATCCATATTGGAACACAAACTCATCAAGATGCAAGGTGCGCTTCAACCCAGGGTCATGGTGGAATGGAGCCAGCTTCCCTCTTCCCTGGCTACCTAGGAAGAACCAGAAGACCTTCAGCTTCGTTTTCCATTGGCGCCAGCTTGGGGTCAAGCCGGTTCTCAAGAGAGGGTGAATGTCACGGCTGACAGGGAGGGCCGGACTCACCAACTGGAACGAGAGCCCATGGTCTGAGCGTTAACGTGAAGAAGTGCTAAGAAGACTAGCGGCGCGTCGCCGACTAGGCCTGCAGTTGGGCCGTGCTCGAACAGGGCCTGCGTGCTCTACTCATTTGTGTATAACTAGGCCAGAGTCCTGTAAGTGTGGATCATCGAGAAAGTGAATCACGAACTGGCTGAGAGAGAGAAGCCGTCCTTCTCCTCCAGAACCCTAATCCCCCCTTGCTCTCTCAAATTATCCCCTCTGCTCTCCCTGTAGCGCCGCCAGATCGGTCTGTAACAAATGCGGAGGATACGCCCCACTCCGAAGTCCACAATGAAAGTAAATCAGGAACATTAATAGTGCAACTTCAGATCAATCACATGGTTTTCAGCTTTATACAAGTCAAATATTCGGTAACACATAGTGGGACAGAATAAAGCTCCCAAAACATAATGAAGAGAACATGCCCGGCTCAATCATCATGACTGGCTAGTCTCCCACTACTGTCAAGCCATTAGACGGTAAATAGTACGTGATTATTATTATTGTTGTTGGACGAAGTAACAATTGTGTATATTTGCATAAACATAAGTAGATTCCCTGACAAAAAGAAATCAGTGGCGACAGGTGAACACATGCACGAATTAATGAAATGAAATTTATTGTTTCCATATAATACTACTAAAAGAATACCGCCCTCCACCCCACGGGCCCAGCACTCCCAGCCTCTCTCATCTCTATACATCGTCGAGCATGTACATCCCGTACCCGGTAAGTCGTCGTCTCCCTTGTTCTTCGCGTAATGTATAATTAAGTACATAATTAATTACCACAGGTAATTAAGAACTAAATCAAATCAACACCATCTTTTTTCTGGACAAAACTAAAAAGAAACGGGCGAAAAAGTGAAGAAAAAAAATTAAAAAATTCAAACTTTGGCGGGCTCTGCTTCTCGATCAGATGGATGCATGCACTGTTCAGTGGATGACTTGTTGCTTCTTGTCTCAGGTCGTCCTGTCCGGCGGCAAAGTCGTCAACAGGGACCTCATGGCCAGTTGTAGTACCCTGCGTCGACGAACTTCTTGCCATGGTGACCATGCACCGTTGTGTGCTTGCCTCCCGAGCTATGCATGTGGGGGATGTTGATGTAGAGCACGGCGGTGATGACGAAGGTGAATGCCCACCAGACGAGCACCACGACTGGCGTCTTGCCGTGCTTCCCCAGGATCCCCTTGGCGAACGGGTAGAGGTGGAACAGCACCCAGAAGTTGAAGAAGACCCCGCCGGCGACCTTGAGCCAGTGCGTCCACTCGCCGTCGAGCACCTTGGCGAAGGCCACCGCCGACCCAATGATGTTGACGAAAATGATGATGATGGGTGTGATCATGAGCGGCGTCCAGCGCACCACGTACAGGTCGGCGTAGGGGTCCTTCTTCTCGTCTCCGGACGGTAGCTTGGATGTGAGCTTGAAGGAGATGTCACGCCGGAATATCACCTTGGTCAGCACCTGGCACACGGCGGCGAGGTAGGCGGAGCAACTTGCCGTCATCCAGAACTGGCCGTTCCTGAACCACTCGAAGACGGTGACCCCGGCCCACTTGACCTCCAGCACGGCGATGACGAGCAGCGTGGAGAGCACGATGCCCAGGTAGACGTAGAACATGGTGGTGGGGCGTTGCACGATGAAGTGGCCGGTGACGAAGGAGAGCGCCGGCACGGTGGTGTAGAAGATGAGGAAGATGGCGGTGAAGGGGTAGGTGGTGATGTTGATGTAGGCGACGCGCTGCAGCGGGTGGAGGTAGGTGCTGCCGAAGAGCGGGTTGTTCTTGGAGAAGAAGATCTCGAGGGAGCCCGTGGACCAGCGGAGCACCTGGAAGAGCCTCTCCGTGAGGTTGATGGGTGCGGTGCCGATGAAGGCGTGTGGGTAGATGGAGCAGTAGCGTGACCGCCACCCCTTGATATGCATCCGGTACCCGGTCACCACGTCCTCCGTCACGGTGTCGTACACCCAGCCGATCTCTTTGCCCCAGCCGGTCTTCTTCTCGAACGCCGCGGCCGTCACGTTCACCGCCTCCACGATGGTCGCCTCGTCGGCCACGATGCCCTCAGCCGCCGCGGCGTAAGGCGACGGGTGCGACGCGCGCGGGATGCTGTCCACGAAGGCGTCCGACTTGCCGTACGTCTTCTTGGGCAGAGGCAGGAAGCCGTGCTTGCCCTTGGCGGGCACCGGCGCGGCCTTGGCCTTGGCCATGGTCATCTCGAGGCCGGGCTTCTCGTACTTGGTCTTGGCGAAGAGCCCGGCGAGCCTGGGGAAGCAGGGCCCGCCGACGTTGATCCTGGGCGGGTCGAAGCCGTAGACGGTGATGCGGCGGAAGAGACAGCCGGTGCCGACGTAGATGGGGCCCTGCATGCCGTCGAGGGCACGGAGGGTGCCGTCGAAGAAGATGCGGTTGTGGTTGGCGTAGAGGTCGGTGGGGTCGACGCCCTCGAAGCGCTGCGGGAACTGGACGAAGGCGACGGTGTCGCTGTCGCGTCCCACCATGAAGCAGATGCCGGCGCGGAGGGCCTGGGAGTTGTTGATGTAATGGTCGCAGTCGAGGTTGAGGATGAAGGGGGAGTTGGAGAGCAGCGCGGAGGCGCGGGTGAGCGCGTTCATGGCGCCGGCCTTCTTCTGGTGGTCGTGTCCGGGGCGCTTCTCACGGGACACGTACACCAGCATGGGGAGACGCACATCCACGCCGCTGAAGTCCAGTGGGTTGTCAGCGCTCGCCGGCGGGCCCGTCTGCCGGCGGTGGCTCGGGTGGTTCAGCAGCACCTGCATCCATTGCACACACACCATTGTCAGCACTCCATTCCTCTTGCAGTACAATCACAACTTGAGCTTAGGTAGATAGTGGTAAAAAAAAACAAGGTTAAATGAATGACACGGTTAATTTTAGCTGTTACTTTTACTTCTCGATCGCCATAGTAAAAGGTCAAATGATTCTTACTGGAGTGTTACTATTACTACCTTAAGGTGATTAGTGGTTGGAGTAATTAATTATTAGTACTACTAAGTATACTACAGTACAGGGTTAAGAGTTGGGCAGAGTAAACAAACTGATGAATGATTGAGGCAGTTAAGAAAGCAGGGCCGGTGAATTGAATTAAATGGGTCATAAAGTGGACGCTGTAGTGCTGTCGGGGGGAAAGGACCACCCCAACCACCATTCCTCGTCACAGCGTGAGTGAGTGGAACCACACGTTGCTGGCCACAGGACGAGGCGAGAAGAGAAGCATGCATGTTTTCTTCCATGTCTGTCCACAAGTGTGCTTGGCTGGCCGGCCGGTGGTTGCACTCTCGACCATCACCACGTCCATTCTGTCAAAATCTCCCTTGGATCGGCACAGCAGTGCAGTGCAGGCAGGCATCACATCAGATGGCCACTAATAACGAGGCCCTAACTAACCAAGATTCCAAGAACAGCAGCATGCATGCATCATGCACGGACGAAAGAGACCCTAAGTAAATGGTAGTCCTAGTGATAAGTATAGCAACTAGTACTGACCAGGACGATGCCGGCGTGGTCGCCCCTGCGGTGGTTCTCGGAGGCGTCCACCCAGGTGCCCTGCCACTGGGTGCCGTCGGCCATCCAGGTGGGTCGGGGCTCGCCTTCCCGGTGGGCGTTGGCGGCGTTGTACCCGTCGTTGCGCTGCTTGATGTCGTGCTCCAGGCTGTTGATTCTGGCCTTGAACTCGTCGTACTCCTTGCGGACGCGGCGGCGGTCGTTGACGAATTCGTCCTGGGCTCTCCCCATGTAGGGGTGGGACTTGAGCTCGAAGTAGCTCTCCGGACCCCTGGGCTCGATCCCGTGCTTGCGGCAGAAGGGCACCCAGAGGGTGGCGAACTTGGAGGACTCGGCCAGGGCCTCGTAGGTGAGCAGCATGCCACTGTCGTCAGAGACGTAGCATGTGTTGCGGTCGACGGGGTAGTCGGCGGCGAGGATGGAGAGCACGGAGTTGGCGGTGGAGAGGATGGGCTCCTTGATGGGGTCGGCCGTGGTGACGAAGATGTCGAGCCCCGGGAGGGTGGAGGTGCCGTCGGGGCGGTCGAAGCGCTGCCGCAGCACGGCCAGGTCCGGCACGCGGTTGATGGGGTTCAGCTTGGGCAGCTGATCCAGCAGCCAGGAGAAGCCGAACCAGAACTCGCCGCAGATGGATGTCACCCACAGCCACATGGCGTCAGGGTTCTTGTGGGAGATACGCCAGATCACGAACAGGGTGAAGGCGATCAGCCGAACGAAGATCAGCACCCTGCATTGCATTATTCACATTCACCGTCAGTTACAGTTCATCATCAGTTCTTGTGGGAGTAGTAAAGTAAAAATTGTTGGATTAATCGAGTGATGATTGGGTGCAATTATTGGAGGGAACATGCGCCACGTTCATCTTTTCCCTTTGCATTTCTTTTCCCTATCAGACAGCTAGTTTTAATTTTTTGCAAATGCCAAAAGGCGAGAGAGAGAGAGAAGGGCATCATGTTCTCATTGACAGCCAAGGCGGGAGCTGGCAAGTCAATGAGTGTGAGCTGGCACACTTGGCAGCAAACGGCGCCGTGTATGAGCACCGACATGCCTCGGCTGTCAGTAGGCCCGGGCCCCTCCCTCCCTCACCCGTCGTGCGAGGGCATGGACGCGACCGCCAGAGGTGGTGCCGCTGGATTCGTTGCTCCATTAATGGGCCTCTTTTCTCGTTATTTTCTTCTTCTTCTTCTTCTTTATGCTATTGGCGCCAAAAAGTCGTTGGAACCTTCTCCTGCTAATCGTTACTAGTAGTAGTAGGAGTACTTTGGAGTAGTAGTAATCTTTTTCTTGTTATTTATCTTTGGAGTACTTTGAAGATGTTGTGCCGAGTGCACTTCACATATCCTAGTGTTTATCTAGCACGCGCATTTCTTCTGAGTTGTAACCCTGCCACTTTAATATGGCTTTTCTCGGTGCCAACATGACTCACGCATTCTTCTGAAAAAAGGCATTCAAGCGGTGGCAATGGCACCACCTTTTTTTTTGCTTCTCCTCCTTTCTATGACATGACATGACATGATAATCTTCTTCTCGTTTTCTCCATAAAACGGCTGAAGAAAAACTAACGTACTAGAGGCTCCAGCGGTAGCATCATCCATCTATAACTAGACTAGATGCTCATATACTACCATACCATACATACATACGTTTCTCCAGTGACAAAAAAGGACATGTTACTTACTTTTATTTATACCTTGTCCCAACCCAAAAAGTTTAACTAACTTTCTCACTGCGACGTCCCCAGGGAGGATGGCGACGAGGCTTTTAATGATGTGGCTTGGATTCACGTGCAAGCCATGCCCACTGTCATCTCATCTCCTTTCACCTCGGATTCCTATTGCCATTGCAACCGAATCCATCCCACCCGCACACCCAGATTTTATTAACTCTAAAGTGGCAAGGATTTATGAGCCGCCAGGGTGGCCACCGGGGCCCACCTGCCAGGCAGGCCCAACGGCTAACGTCCCCTTAAGCGGGCCCATGCAGCAGTGACTATGACTAGTAGTAAGATGGAAGAACCAGCGCCCCGCCGCACCGAGCCGACAGCCCACACCGGGACGCGCTGTTTTGAGTGGATTCGAGCCATCATTGGCCCGCCTCTAACGTGCACCTGTCTCGGACTTGTCAAATTTTAATCCATGTTTACATTAATTACCTATTAATTACTGTGATTAACACCGACCAGACCACGCTACCAGTCCTAGGACTAGTACCAGTCTCGATGAGCACCGCCACCGGTCAAGATCAAATAATCCTGACTGTCAGCCTGGCGTGGTGCTTGTTGGCTTAATCATTTTAGACTTGTTGTGCAAAATAATAGTAATAATAAATACTTACACAGTAAATAAGTATGAAATACTACTAGTAATTGTTACTACTGTGACGCAGATATAGGGAGTTTAGAGCATTTTTAGTGGCTTGTGCAAATGGTGGTCTATACCAAATTTAGACTACCACATGTCAAAAAACGTCTTCAGTGACTTGTCTATTGCGTCATCTAAAATTTAGACAATGTCCAAACTAACTACCCGTCGTCCACATTTGGACAACCAAGCCACAATGTCTAAACCAAAAATGTTGGCTCATGAGCTCAGCCATTCACCAATTCGGAGCAATTGGAGGACGTCGGCAGGGAGGCGGCCGCGCCGGCGCTGGACACGGAGGTCGTTGCGCCTGGACCGTCGCCTCATCAGGGTTGAACCTGTTGCTATTGTTTATTTCTCGTAAATTATATAGGGTGTTGCTAGTGTTGAACCTAAAATAATTTCGCGGCTGGTTTATTTTCTCCTTTATATGTCTTGCGGATGAAAAAAATAAATGAAAACAACTCAGAAATGACTAACATAAGATTTTTAGAAAATATAGCTGCTATAAGATACTATTAAAATATATGAAAGAGAATATAGACATCATATATATAGACAATCCGCTGGAAAACTTAGGTTGTCTAAAAGAAAATCTTTTTACACCATTGTGTATATGTAGATATAGACTATTAAATTTAGACAAGCCACTAGGATGCTCTTAGTTGCACGTACCGGTAGGGGTGGAGAAGGACACCCTTGATTTTCTCGGTGCGGAAGACGGGGCGGTCGTCAACGGCGACACCGCTTTCGTCGGTCTCGCCGTCTTCGCCGAGCTCCACGCCCACCCAGCTCTCGTCGTTGACGGCGCCGATCTGGCCCATGGCCACGATGTCCATGTCCAGCGAGGAGGCGGCGGACGCCACCGCGGCCGATCCCGTGCAGGCGCACACCTGGAAGCCGCAGACGCAGGGCTTCCCGCTGGCGGCCGCCGGCGCCGCGGCAGCAGCCGGCTCATTGCTCCGCACGCGGCCTCCTCCGGCCACCGCTGGCGCCATGGGCGTCGTCCTCAGTGCACGCACTCTCCTTTACGACAAGGGGAGGTTACCCTCAGCAGCACCAACAATGGCAGGGAGGGCAGGCAAGGTAGCTAGCTCTCCACGCTCAGGCAATGGGCAGCCTTTAGCATGTGCAGGGAGGGGGAAAAGGAAGCAATGAATGAATGTAGGGGAGGGGGAGGGGGAGGGGAGGAGGTGCGAGAAATGACGAGTAAAGTACGTGGGGGATTTATGGGCTGGGAGGCACAAGAAGTGTCGGTAGGGGTTCAAGCTTTGCTCAGCTCGCTTGTCTTGCTGAGCTATCCAACCAAGGGGTTGGAGGTGTGTGTGGGTTGTAATTGTGTTTCAGCGGTGTGCGGGTGTGTTTATATGTAGGTGGTGGACTGGCGAGCACATTGCTGCGGTGTACGCGTGTATGCCCAGCCCAGCCCAGCCCATCTCGCCGCACCGCACCTCACCTACCTACCAGGTTGCTTCCACTCATATTCCTGCCCCTGCCTGTGCCATGTGATTTGTGATGCCCTCCCCTCCCCCCGCAAGAAAACTAGCTTGCATTTCCGAATTTTCTTTTATCTTTTCGCTTGCATAAGCACTCCATTGTTAATTAATTAACGAATTGATTGGTGCCGCAACATGGGACGATTTCCTTTTCCCTCCTCCTCCACCGATTGAGGGCTCCTTTAATTCAAAGGAATTGCATAGGATTTTTGGAGGATTTGAATCCTTAGAAATTTTTCCTGTGATGCTCGTTTGATTCGTAGGATTGGCATCCTTAGGAATTTTTTCATAGGATCCATTTGTACTATATTTTGGAGGAAAATTTTCATCCACTCAAACCTCTTTGTAGGATTCCTTTTTTTTTCTGCGCTATCAAACATTCTTTGAGATCCTGTAGGATACTATGGGACATGTTATTCTATTCCTGCATTTTTTCTATTCCCTCATTTTGACAATCCTGCGAATCAAAGAGGCCCTGATTCTACTAATCAGATAGGAGGAGGAAGGAGGAGGAGGAGCTGGGCGTAGAATAAAGGTACCGGGGCGATGAGTGGCGATGATGATTAGTTTGTTTGTTATGCGAAGTGCCTGTGTTTTTTCTTTTTCTTTTCTTAATTAATAATAACTTGGTGGGGCTTGCGAGCTTGGTCTTGGTTGCTGCCCTTGATTGAAAGATTCTTTTCTTGCGCCTTTTCTGCTCTCTCCCAGTCCAAGCCAGCCTGACCCGTGAGTCCCTCCCTGTAGCATCCTGCAGCATCGCCATGCATGCATCAGTGAGCTGTTTTGAGTACCGTACAAGCCTCTTTGCTCTGCTGTGACCTTGCAGCCCAACGGCAAATACCATCTCTTCTGTCCACGGAATTTTTAGCCTCTTGATCTAGTAGTATCTATGTGCAAGTTGGGTTGGGAGAAACATTTTGGAGCACTAGTAGTAGCAAACTGCGAGGACTCGCTCATACGTGCTCACATATTCTTGTCTTGTTGGTTGAAAAGTGGCATGCAGCGGAGCCACGCAAGGGAACAGTGGTCGGAGTAATATCGGTCACAGCAAAAGGTGGACATGCAGAGCCCGGTTCTACCACTGCCTCCTCCTTTTTTTTCCCCCTTTGGTTTTGGTTTTGGTTTTGGTTTTGGCTTTGGCTTTGGCGAGCAAATGCTTCACGAGAAGAGAAGGAATGCGTTGGTCCCCTGGCCGGTTCATTGCCACAAGGAGAGGCTTGCCGTTCTGCCCGTTACGACGTCCCTATAGAAGCGGCGGGGAACGTATCCGACGAGAAATCACGGCGGGAGGAGCATATAATCCGTCCTGATGGAGCTCCCTGAACTAACTAACGGGAGGAATTAAGCATGAGGTCTACAGCTCGCTCGCGCCCGGCCAATTCGCAAATTAGGCCAGTTGTTAGGACAATGACGCGCGCGCACCAGGCCACCCGGCCCCGTGTCCAGACCCCGAACTAACCACACCGCCACGGAGAGGACAATTAAACCGACGCACAAGAAGAAGACGATAGAGGCGGGCCGTGTATGGACGGAGAGGCCGGAAGAGTAATTAACCGGGGGTTGATGTTGCTGTTGCTGTTGCATCGAAGATCCAACCACATATGCGGGCACGCTAGCCCCCAGCATTGATGATAAACTAGCCACAGTGGGAGTAACTTCAGCAGTAACATCGAGTCCAACTCAGCAAATTTGCTTATATGACAATGAGTTAATGAAGAGAGAGGTAGTTGTAGTAACTTAGCTAGTTACTGTAACATCACATGTTCCAATGTAATATGAGTCTATAACCTAATAAATGAATCTTTGCATGCTATCACACTTAAGTTACTACCCACTATGAAGGTACTAACATAGTCTAAAAATATGTGTATGTTACTAGTGTATGTTACTATCCATTGTGGCTAGTCTTACTACACTCAACGAGTCCCACAACATCTACGAGGAGAGGGGATGGGAGGGAACGGACGAAATTTTAACGCTTCACGCTGACGGTAATGTAATGTGTGTGCATCTCCGTCCGGGGCACGCGTACTTGTTTGTGTGCGCGCACGTCTGTGGAGAGGACGCTAATGACCTGATTGACGCCCACAAGCTATGCCATCAGCGATGCAGATTTCTGGCCAATCTCCTTGTTGAACTGCTCCATCAAGATAATTCCTAAGCTGCTTGCCCACAGACTACAGAATATCATTCTGACTATGGTGCACACAAATCGATAAGGTTTCCTGATAAACAGATTCATCTAAGATTGGTTGGCCTGGGTATATGAATTCGCCGATCAATGCCACCGGTTTAGAGAGGAATTGATTATTCTGACGCTCACTTCAAAAAAAAAAACATTTGACATGATTAAGCACAAACCTATTGTGGAGATTCTTGTTGCTAGAGATTTTGGATTCAGATGGCTTATGTGGATGGATATGATCTTCAATTCTGATTTTTTTTCTGTTCTTCTAATGGAGTTCCTGCGATGAGGACATACTGAACCAATTATTAGAACGCACGCATGCCAATTAAATTACCAGGTACTTTTGTTTTTTCGTAACGATCCTAATGTTCATGAGATTATGATGCTGTCCAAATTGAATATATTTATTTTGATTACAAATGAAGGACCCAGCATGGACAAAAAGGATGAACATTGAAGCATGATCAAGCATGGAGAAGATGGCGCATGTAAGGGGAACAAGAACGGAGTTTCTGGTCGAGTTTTTAGCACTTTGAAACCACCATGATGACATAAAAGAACATGAAAGAAATATACAAAACGATTTTTTTATAAATTTCGTCCATAGCTAAGGGCTATTTCTTTTGACAACTTAAAAAATAAGCCACCTTCTCCTCAACTCTTTCCATGAGATGCCTCTTTTATCCATTGGGGCTTCTAATAGTAATGAGAAAACTAATTTAGAAGTCTCAAAAATTTAGGAGGCGACTTATTTTTTAAGTTGGGGAAAGGAAGCTTATTTTTAAGCTGCCCAAAAGAAATGGCCCTTGCGCCACCTTATTTTTGGGTTAGGCCCATTTAGTTTTGAAATACACTTAGGTCCTATTTGTTTGGGCTTTTGCTTCTGCTTTTGTAGCTTTTTCACTTTGACCAAAAAGCCATAGAAGCTCCTAAATAGGTGCTTTTGAAGCTTTTATGGCTTTTGATGAATCAATATAACAGTGGAAAAGTGGCAAAAGCAGAAGCAAAAGCCCAAATAAATAAGGCCTTGGCATGCTATTTTTAGAATCCGTGTTAATAAGGAAAACGACTTAGGACAGACTTTAGTCACGCCTTGCCAAGGGTGGACGAAATTCCCCTATGTCTCCCTATAAATACAGCTCTTAGGGCATCGTTTTAGACTTGAGTTTTGTTTACAACTTTACATTAAAGTTCATCATTATGTAGCGCACGTACTTCGTTTGAGTCCAATGATCAGCCCAAGACGTTTCACAACCCTACTTTTAATAAAGCTTTCCTCTTCAATTCGCAATATCCAGATTGCAATCTCAGTTTCTTACTTGTTCTTCATTTGCCTACAGTAAATAGCCCCTCGTGATCAGGTTGATAATGCTCCCGCATGGTCAATAATCTCTCGAAGTTGGCTTAGCTATTTCTAAGGCGCGACGTCTTCGCACGTTCGTAGTCAGATCGTCAAAATCAATTTCCAACAAAAATGATAGTTATCGTCTCATTGAAAGATGGGACACCTTCGCCTCTATCACCTGGCAAGTAGTTCTTATCGGGCTGTTAGACAGGGTGATCCTCTCACCACCTATGTTTGTGTTAGCTGACCACAAGCAATTATGAATGAAGCAATGCTCAACAACCTCATCAGTGAACCTTTAACAGCTCATCCTAACACTGATTTTCCAGTCATACAATATGCTAATGAAATTGTCTTGATTATGCCTGCTAGTGAGCTCCAACTTGAGCAACGCAAAACCCTTCTCATGCATTTCATTGTCTACACTAGGGTGAAAATTAAAGTTGACAAATCATTTATGGTCTCCATCAACATTGTTGTTGATCGAATGGAGTCTCTAACCCTTAGCCTTGGATGCAAAGTTGGATCCTTTCATTTTACTTACCTTGATCTACACCTGAGCTTGACCACGCCAAGACTGAAAGATTTTTTCCCATTCTGAAAGGAATTGACAGAATGTTGGTTTTGTTCCACTTTGTTTGTTATTATGTGGAGATAAATAGACTCTCATTAAACCTGTCTTCACGAGTCTGCCAACTTTCTTCATCAGCACTTTCTCCTTGCTTCCTGGGATTATAGATCAAATCAACAAGTCCTTAAGGCGCTATTTCTGAAGAAGGTATGCAATGGAAGATAGAGGCACTCATAATTGCCTAGAATAAAGTATGCCTCCCCAAAGACCAAGGAGGGTTGGGCGTACTTGATCTTGCTATTCATAACAAAATGACTCCTTATGAAACACCTTCATAAATTCTTCAATCAGGATAATCTACCGTGGGTCACACATATCAGGCAATCTTATTATACCAA